CAACCATTTTTGTCCTGTTCGTTTGGCTGATAAGCCATGGCTGAAAGTACTGTTGGCTGATTTGTTGTAAGAAAAAAATAATGTTTGTTGGCTGAAAAAGTACGGCTTATAAGCCAAGCGAACATGGCATTTAGAAAAGATGTTTGTTTCAAGTTACTAAGACCCCGGTTGTTTGAACTTATCAGTCTGGCTTATCAATTATAGTATAATGTTTTTCCTCACAACAAAATAGATTCAGCCGGCTTATCAGCCGTAAAAACTATCAGTTGAACAGCTCGTAAAGCTAAAGACCACGTAAAGCCGATGAGGTTCGGAATTTGTGTTTTTAGGGGTGGTGTTCTCTTATAAACAGTCTAACACAGTGCTATGGAATCCTTAATCAATTTAATAGACAACTTATACAATAAATTGTACTTTTCTTTTGTCTCGAAGTAACTCACAATTGTTAACTGGTGTAGAACCAAAGTATCATGGCAACCACAACTCATATAGGAGGTATAAAAGTTGTCATATTCCTAAATTTTAGCTTATAAGACGATTGCTTTACGAAACAACTGCCTTTTCCTCTAGCATCCCTCTCTCAAATCCACGCCATCAAAAGCCCTACGAAGCTTTGCATGAGACTACTAGCGTGTAACATTGTACTTCTGTCTTGAACTTCCTAATGTTTTGAGCCCTAAATAATATTACCAAATATGACCATGGATTGATTTGTTTGGATGGTTTGAAATAACCAAGGAAAAAAAGGGTTCAATTCTATATATTCCAAATGGGGCTTCCAGGTACAATGTTTCGATAAGAGCGGTGTGCTTGTTTTTCAAAAAGGAAAAGCGAAATCATTTGTGCGGTCTAACTTTTGATAACCATATAAAGGTATGTTTGAAGCCCTTTTCCTTCAAGACACGTATAGACACACTCATATAAGCTTTAGGCATTTTACCTCAAGGTTGCACACGCTAGCAAATACCGTTAGTCTAGAGTCTAGACTTGAAATTATCATAGTGGCCCATACATAAGACCTTGTGAATTTACATTAAATAAAGAAGCAGAACATTCTCTGACACCGTCGTAATTCAAAAACTGAATAAACGTTGAATTGGTCGCATCATACAATTTCGGATGGAACAAATCAAATTTTTGGTACTCCTGAACCTGATGATGTGAGGAGGCGAAGGCGTGAAGCGCAAGGAAGCAAAAATTTCAGGGTTGGAAAAGAGAATGGGAGACGAGACGGAAAGGCGGCCTTGCCCGTCGCCGTCCATTAATGAGCTAACGGACCCCACGGCTCCCACCACCACCCTCTCGCAGGCAGGCAGGCAGGCAGGCAGGCACAGCCAGAGCCAGCCGGCCAGCACCAGCAGCAGCCATGATTCTACATCTGCTTCCAACCCAGCAGAGCAGCAGCGAAAGGGTGACACCACGAGGCAAATAAACCCAGACGTTCAGCTGCCTCTAGCTCCTTCCCCGCGCGCTGGCTGCCGCGAGAGCTCGGTGGAATCCAGCAAGCAGGGAGCACCGCGCGCTGCCGCCTCGTTCGTGCTGGGCATCTTTGTTCCTGATGGGGAACTGTGCCGGCGTGGAGGGGAACGCCGAGATCAACCCTTCCTTCAGTGCCCCCAATTCGTCAGGTACTAGAATCTCATTTTCCTCGTTACTGAGAGCCAGCATGTTTAAGTCCGCAGCCTTCTTAACTCTGAGTCTCTGATTGTTGGAGCGACCTTTTGTTTTTATCTTCCGATGTAGGAGTAGGAGCGTTTACTGATTCGTTTTGTTGCACTTGGGGCGAAAAACAAATAATAGCCGACCTGGATTTGAAAAAAAAAAATCTCCATGTTTTCTGCGCCTCCAAGAATAGAACAATTCAGGACTTCAATAGTCCATTTCGGGACTATTGAGTCAGAGGTGGTGAGTGGAATTGTCCAATTTTAGGTGGAGAGAGTAGGGCGCCTCCAGGATGGTAACAATGCGAGGTTTATTAGCCAAAGAAGTACTAGTAGCACTAGCACTTCAATTCTGGAAGCATAGCATCACGAGGAACAAACTTTTCTTCCTTGCTAAATTAATAGAGATGCTTGTAATCCAGGGACCGGTTCTAAAAACAGCAGCAAGAATGCAACCGACACCAGTACCTTTGGTACCAAGACGTCCGGCTCTTCGTCGTCGGTGCCACCAACTCCTCGTACGGAGACAGAGATCCTGGAGTCATCGAATGTTCGCAAGTTCACCTTCAGTGAGCTGAAAAGCTCCACAAGGAACTTCAGGCCCGACAGCCTGCTCGGGGAGGGAGGCTTTGGCTCTGTGTTCAAGGGATGGATGGATGAGCGCACGCTTGCGCCTGTGAAACCGGGCACTGGGATGATTGTGGCGGTGAAGAAGCTCAAGCTCGACAGCTTCCAGGGGCACAGAGAATGGCTGGTGGGTGTCCCTCCACTCCTGATGTGTTTGTTTGACTCAGTCATAGGTGGCTTTCATTTGTATCTGCGATAACTTTGCAGGCTGAGGTCAATTACCTAGGGCAGTTATCCCACCCTAATCTTGTGAAACTTATCGGGTACTGCCTGGAGGACGAGCAACGCCTTCTTGTGTATGAGTACATGCCAGGAGGGAGCTTGGAGCATCATCTTTTCAGGAGTAGGCTCTCTTGTGTTCTTTTGCGATATCCCTTCATTCTTGGCTTCTTGCTTTATGAAAAGGACTGAATGCTTTGATATTACAGGGAGCTCGAACTTCCAACCGCTCCCATGGAACTTACGCATTAAGGTTGCGCTTGAAGCTGCCAGAGGTCTTGCTTTCCTGCACGGTGACCAGGCTAAAGTTATTTACCGTGATTTCAAAACCTCCAATATTCTTCTCGACTCGGTCTGCTTGCAAACCATTCTGTCAATATGTGCAATTCAAATGAACTTTTATCTAAAGATTCGAAATTATTTAACCTTTTACAGGAATACAATGCAAAATTGTCTGATTTCGGTCTGGCAAAAGACGGTCCAAGTGGTGATAAAAGTCATGTTTCTACTAGGGTCATGGGGACACAAGGATATGCTGCCCCTGAATATCTTGCAACAGGTAATCTTTGTAACATGATTTGGCAGCCAATAATATATCATATTGTTTCACTGTTATTTTGAAGCATTATAATGGCTACATACTGAGAAAGTGGGTAGATGAAACTTTGTTCTTTCAACATAACTCTTTTTTTTTATTGATCTATTTATTTCATTGTATCTCTTTTTTTTATTCTTCCATCATATCTCTGTAGCTGAGAAACATATATTTTCCAAGACAAGGATATTGATTGTGTCCATGCCATTTAGTTAGATTCATTTACTTTTTTTTTATATGTCATGGTTTTGCACTGTGCTCTGATGGGCCATTTGTTTAAAGCAACTCATATATCATATAATTTATTTATTTATTTGTTTTTTTTTTTGGAAAAAGAAGCACAGTATGTCACTGTACTATCCTTATAGATTAGTATTTCTTGTCTCGTTCATGTGCACCTTATGATATAAAAACTAAAGAATGAAGTGTATGATGTATGCCATCCTGTAAAGGAGAAAAATTGAAGCGTCACATTATGCTACTTGAATGGTACTTTATGGTTGCCAACCTTTGGTTAGTCCATAAAAATATACTAAATTCTCCAGCTGGTTTCATGTATGAACTACCATGAAATCAGGAATTGTGATACTCAAGTCAACACGCACATTCTGATTACTCAATTGCTTGCAACTTGTTCTTTAACATACAAATTTTCGCACATGCTCTAATGGTAGAAGTCAAATCAAATGATATGCATATGTATAATTTATGGCAGCTTATATTGCTTGCCCTCTTGGTACACAGGCCATTTGACTGCGAAGAGCGATGTATACAGCTATGGTGTTGTTCTTTTGGAGTTGCTGTCTGGGCAGCGTGCTCTGGACAAGAATCGCCCGCCTGGTCAACACAATCTGGTGGAGTGGGCTAGACCTTACATCACCAACAAGAGGAGGGTCATCCATGTCCTGGACTCACGGCTGGGTTCCCAGTATTCCCTTCCTGCGGCTCAGAAGATGGCTGCCCTCGCACTGCAATGCTTGTCGATGGACGCACGATGCAGGCCTGGCATGGATCAGGCTGTGACTGTATTAGAAGAACTTCAAGAGGCCAAGGGCTCGGTGAAAAAGCTGGCAAGTAAGTAGGGAGGGTTGCTGGCTAAAGATGTCCATTGCCTCTCTGGAGTCTGGAGCATCCTCCTGTAATACTTTAGGGGAGTAAAAACAGAACGGACGATGATCTGAAGGGCTAAGTAGCTTGTGAAGAGAATATAATATTGCCTTGCTTTGTGTACAGCTAGCTGCTTCGTCGTTGTAAGTTGGGTCTCTAGTACTTATATATTTTAGTAGTCTTCGTTGTACCAGAGGTGCAAAAGGTAGTTTCTTTTGTCCCACTTCACCGCGAAATCCCAGTTGAATGTTCTTGAGATTGTTAAAATGCACCGCCGCTACAAATTGCTTGCCAATTAAATGATGCATACCAACACATACTACGCAGAAAAAATTTACAGCATATGCAGAGCTGATGTTTATATACGGCGCTGTTTGCATATCCTGTTTTACAGGTTACTGTAAAACAGAATCAGTGGCATATGATCATCACTCTGATGCTAGAAGCTACTATAGCTTTATCATTTTGAAACTATATAAAGAGGTTGAAATTTTATTGTTTCCGAGATGATATAACATGAATAGCAGAGAAATAGCAAAGTCAATATTCTCTCGTTCATCTACAAATTACTACCAGAATGAACTCTGGCAAAACAATAAAAGTAGTTCAATTCTCTCATACCAGTAACCTCGAACTGTAGAACAAGTTTTATGAACGCTTAGATTTCCAGGAGGTTGCAACACCAAGCTTCTAAATCATTCTGCGTCGAGTACAGCAGCAAGGCACGGCACGCTGACATCAGGTGATATGAGCCTGCCTGACAGAGTGACAGATTGTTCTTCAAAGCATACCTAGAATCGCCGGCCACCAGAGTTATAAGCACGAGCACTAGGGTATTGACCACGGTGTTCAGAACCACGACCACGACCTCTGCCCCCACCATGGAACTCTGGGTAATCTGGACGATCGCTAAAGGATTCATACTGGCCAGATGCATAACCCCGATGAGCCTCTCCGTAAGCACCTCCAGCAGCAACAGGTGGTGTGCCTGCTGCTGTAGGATTATAACCATGCTGCTCCCCAGGCAATGCTGTTGGGTGATAACCATGCTGTTCCCCAGGCGTGGAATTATTGGCATAATGGCTCATGCTGGCGTGCTGGTATTGTTGCTGGCGTGCTAGAGATTCCTTACGCAGGAACTCATCTCTATAGTTTGCTTGCCGAGCTCGAAGTGCTAATAGTTTCTCCTGGTATTGTGTATTTATCTCCTTCAATCTCTGTAGACAGACATAAGAAACATGGAATGATGGTTGTCTTAGTTTCAATAAATGTATAAAACTACTGAAAAATATATCTCAACTACAAAAAGATGTTGCTCAACCATATATAACTCCAGACTCCAGACTCCTGTGAGGGTGACAACAATTTTTACTATATCCTTGTGGCGTCTTCCATTTTCCACAGTTAGCACTTTGAATATTAAAAAATATACCTTTATTATCAAGCATACAACAATGTTTCTAAGAGAAGTATGGAATTTGAGTTCATGCATCAACACCTTCAAATAGCTGATTCGTTCGCTACTATAGAAATAAATCCAACCATGAAGATCCCTTAAATCACAACAGTAGTGTAAGCCAATGAATATATGGACAACCATATGAAGGCCTCATTTGGGAACATGATAATGTCCTCCAATCCATACGTATTGGGAGGGATGTAAGTGGAAATTAGTTCATTTTCTACTCCAATCCACATGAATTGGGAGAGAAAGGATGTATCCAAACAAGCCTGAGGGGGAAGGCAACCATTTGAATTTAGTATGTGAGCCATGCTAACTTTCTAGTTGAGGATATATTATCGTACTTCTCTTAACAAGATATCCTATATACATCGTATAGGTGAGACCTGAATGTTAAATCTGCTTAGGCATACTTAGTGACTAATATAAATAATGGTGGATCTAAGCTGATATGTTAGAATGATTGAGAATGTGCGTAGAATAGACCAACCTACAAGACACAAAAAGAAAACCCAGCGGCATAAAAGTAGCCGTTTACCAGCTTGCATATGGCCAGCCATACCAAAATTGAAATAGACATGATATTAAATCCTCTTGACAAATGGATAAAGACCTCATGTCAGTGGTGGGTTGGGGGGGGGGGGGGGGGGGGGGATGGGATGATAACGATAGCAAGCAACAACAAAGCCTTTTAGTGTACAACAAAAATCAGGAGGACAAATGACAAACTGTTAATACTTTATACTGCTATGCTACTCTTGCTAGATCAGCATATGGTGGAATCATGCATTACTTCAGTATTGATATACCAAAGAAAAAATACTATGCATTTGACATACCTCCATGTGTCTAGAATTTTCAGCAACCTCTGCATCCTGTAGTTCCTTGGATAGCAAAATAATGTCTTCGTGAAAACTTTGTTCAAGACCTTCAAATGTCCGAGGAAGATTATAATTCTCATATCTTGTATCAGTCCGATCAGTATGAGGTTGGTCCCTAGACTCCTTACTGGACTGCTTTTCTAGACCAAGCTTTGAATCAGATCTCTTGCCATCGTAAAAGGATTGTGCACCTCCGGCACCTTGTCCTGTATCACTAACAGTCAGCATGATATTACAGAACTGTAAGTAGTAAGCAATAGTTTTTTTATCCCTCCAATCAAAATAGTTTTTTACCCCTCCAATCAAAGATATAGGGTGTCCAACTGCAACTAATGTTATATTTTGCAAGAGATGAAGAAGGGGCTATTTGAAAAAAGGAAAAAGAAAAAATGTAAAATTATCAAACTAAGCAGCAGTACATGCCTTCGTTATATGCATATGACTGAACCTGGCTTGGAACGTTTGGTCCACCTCGATCCCATTGACTCTGTCTCACCTTCGGGGGAGTGTACTGATGCTCCCCAGAAGCTTGTGCAGGTTCTCTTCCACTGTAGCTATTCTCAGGGTGTTGCTGTACCCTTTGCTGTGCCTGGTAGTGATGCAACTGGGCAGCAACCATGGAGTTGATATCTGCTTCACCGTATTGCCCCTGCCTTCTCATTCTATCTTGCATCTCTGAAGCACAAAAGTGACAAGATCAACAACATATCATTCAAAATTTTCCGATAAAACAGATCATGACTCATGGAATAATCAAATGGGAAATCTGGATCAAACAAATACATCACACATCATCAGCTCAATGTTCTAGGACCCCAAACAAAACTAATACCAGCTTAGGCTATCATAAATTCATAACCGGCCCAACATCTAACCCCACTATATCTTCTAAATTGCACAATTCAACACCAATGCAAGGTACCAGAACAGTCATATGAACAGTATCGTCAGATCAGCACTCACGGGGGGACCCATTAAAGGCATCAATCAAATAGCCAAACAGCTCTAGGTTAAGAATTTGGGAGCTCGGTTTCACACAACAGGCAGGGAATAAAAAGGGTGGGAATACCTAGTGGGTGCTCGTCGACGGCGAAAAGACCGACGATGGCCTCGGCACCTGAGTAGGGCGGCGGCGGCGGTAGCCCACCCTGTCGTCGCAGAAGGAGAGGAGGAGACCGGGAGAGAGACAGAGGAGAGCGCACGCGGTCTGAAGGGTGAACGGATGTCGGATGCGGCGGCGGCCCTAGCCCAGCAGGATTGTTCGGCCCAGGTGGAGCGCACCCGTACGGGACTTCTCCCGGCCCATTACCTTATTTTCTCTTTTCTTTTTTATTTCTTTTGGGCATAGCGTTGCACCGGTAATTTTTTTCCAATTGAAACTCAATGACCGGACGCGGACGCGTGAGCTCAAGGACTTCGTATTGCACACGGACACGTGGATCTGGTCTTCATATCAAAACCGGGTAGGACGTGGACATGTGAGTGCTTAGTGAAGTATGATTCATATCGGACACGAGACGCGTGAGCAGGATCAAGAGTTGGTATCACCGGGTAGATGATGACTCTAGAGTCTTTTTAGGTGTAGAGATTTATTCTTTCTATATGGGACACTGGCAATGGTAAGTGAAATATTGGTTTCAAATAAGTGCAGTAATTATAATTATTGTAGACTACAAATAAAAAACATTTTACTAATGATGAATATCATTATTTTTCCTTTGAAATTGAAATCCTTTTTACATGGAACAAGAACAATTCCATTAACCTGGAACATTTTTCTCATATAAGATATAACAACTTTCTCGTAAACTAGAAATAAATTTCTCTTCAACATGTTACCATTTTCAAGTGAACATTGTTTTGTGCTAAGAAACATAGAACAACAATTCCCATGAACTAGGAGCAGTTTGTTCAACATGTTAACCATTTTCAAGTAAACCTTTAATTGTTAACAAAAACAATTTTAACAGTTAGAAAGTTGAGAGAGCAGGTAGTTTAGTTTTAAAGTTTGAAAAAAAAACTTAAGGCCTGTTTGGGACATGAGAAAAAATTCCTGTTCCTGAAACAGGCCTTTAATAGTTTAGAGGGAAAAGCACGTTTTCCGTGGAACAAATAGTCGCCTAGTCGGTGTATAGGCCCATTGCAAGCAGGCCTGCCCTTTCCAAATCCCTCTTCTCTGCCTCAGGCCTGGGCCTGGGTCTGGGTCTGCGAGGATTTGAGGGCGCCTCCTTATTATGGGCCGAAATTCACCGCTGTTGGGCTAGTTTCGTTGTTGAAGAACGGGAGTAATTCGTTTGCGGAAAAGATTCAGTTTGGCAAACCAAATACATCTTCCACGGAGACTGTTACATTTGTTTCGTATAAATACCATTCAATGCAAGTACGACCGTCCATATTTTTGGTATAGTTATAAGGAAGTCTTTGTTCAGGTCAAGGTTTTGCACCGTGCTTTAGAAGAAAAAAAAGGGCAAAATGAAGACTCTTTTTTGTAAATAATGCATTCCATCTATAAATCGGCTTTCCCTCCAATGCTCCGAGTTCCAGTTTCAATAAGAATTCGCGTTTTTATGTTATGGAATGAATATACCATACCAATTCCTTATGTAATGCACATATACCATACCAATTCCTTATTATGTAATATACACATCGAACAGAGCAGATGATTAGAACAAATTCCAGAAGCCATCATCATACAGAGCTGTCGCGCTTTTGGGTCTGAAAAAAAAAACACAGGCGTCATGACTCGTGCCACACAGCAGCAGCCAGCGCGCGGCACGAAGCATCCAGCATTCCAGGTCGTACCCCCAACAACGCGTACCCGGCTCGGCAGGCACCTAGCGTGCGAACGCGATGGGCGAGTCCAAATCGTCCTGCTCCATCCGCCGGTCGATGCGGGGCGGGTCAAAGAACTGCGTTCCGCTCGCATCGCCGCCGCGTGCCGCACGCGTGAGAAGCTTCCACCAAACACCATGCTCTTCTCGTGCATGCATATAGATAAGCTAATGGCTAATCCAGAGGCCACCACTGACGGCGACCATCCCCCATGGATGGTTTAACCAGAAGCAATAAAAAATCATCTGTTCAAGCCTATCGCCACCTGGCTTTACTAGTGCTGGCATTACTTCGTCGTTATCTTTAAGCGCGTCAAGCTATAGGTTACCGGGCGAGCAGGTAAACCTTGTGTGCTCGTCGTTGGTTGGGAGCTGCGAGCAACCAGTCGCAGCCGTCTGTTAAAGACCACGGGCTTCGTCTTCTTCACGTGTTCCACCGTACCGCGCCGTGCCACCTCTCTCTTACCTGCCCAACTCGGACTCAAACTTGGAAGACTAGGTTAAAAGCGTGTTACTTGTATCGTTCTACCAGAGAGATCGAGCCGGCGAACCCCATGCGGCACTGGCTCACGGCGGCACGCATGGAGGTTTGCCGGGTGCCCGCTCGGCTTTGCGTGTCGTCAGTTTACGTGTGCTTTGCTTCCTCAGATTTGGATTCTGGAAGCGGTTCCATTCCCCTTTCCGCAGGAGTTGCGTCCTCGTTCCAAATGTACTTTCTGATGACAGAGTTTCAGAAACGATGAGAAGAAATCAATTTGGCAAACCCCGGAGCGAACGGAATATGCTGTTGACTAGCTCTCCGCTGCTGTTTCTCGGCATGCAGCGCCAGGTGGTGTGCACGAAACAAGGACATGGACATGCACGCAGAGGGGGCAGAGATACACGGACACGAACATGCACGCAGAGGTGTGACAGGTGCACGTTGGTATGGGCGCGCCGATGGATGACCAATGAATGTGTGAGGCCGATACATGTAGCCGTCTCGCCCACACGTCCTGCCTTGCCTACAGGGCTACAGACAGTCCCGTCATGGAGGCCGGAGCTGGGGGGCCAGCTGGTTGTGCCTGCGCGGCTGCGCATTAGGAGGAGCACGAGCAGCAGCGCTCGCCATGATCCGTCGTGATCTGATCTGATCTGATCCCAACTAATGCTTCATCCATCTGGCCATAAAAAGGTTTGCATCGACCTAAGCTAGCGACATTGTTTTAGCACAAAGCCTTGTTGTGGGCTTTTCCTGGTCAATGGCACAGGCCACAGGGGCAAGGCTTGTCGGTGTTCCCCTCCTGATCTCTCTCGCTTCCAAGCAACAGCTAGCAGTCGCATCCAGCCTGGTTCGTCGCTCGACCTTGCGTCCCTCCTGTGCCTTGCTTGCTTGCACCTTTTCTAATCCTGGTTTATACGCCACCGTTTCCACACAAGGGGGAATATTCTGGCTTTCGCTCCTCCAATCCAATCATCACACGCCAATCCAGCACGCGGTATTCTTTCAGTATACGGAACAGCTAGCTACGCCAGATGGGTCGTGCGTGCTTCGAGGGGTCTACTACGTACTACCACCACCGGCCTGGACTGCTGGCGGTAGATATATACGTTTTTGCCCATTCCCTTTAGGGTCATAGGTCAATGGTTTAAACCTTTGAAATCTTTGCAAGTAACCACAAATGTATATTATATCCTTGTACTATATATTAGGATTTATATATATGCTAGTCCCGTAAGTCCACAAATGTAACCAGCTCCCTGAATCGTGTAAATGTTGTAAACCTATAAATTCAATATATATTTATAGAGCTGTCCAAAAATTATAAATCTAATTTTGTTACACTCATAATAACATGTACTTTAAATTAAGGGGAAATAGTGTTCTTGCCCTTGTCTAGTACTCCAATTGTGATTTTGCCCCTCTTTTTTAACTTTGTAATTTTACCCTCGCTTTTTTCCAACGAAGCTCCCGTCTACCCCTGCTTTGTAACACCGTCTAAAATGCTGGGATTAAATGGTAAAAATAAAGAAAAGACACCTACATGAAAAGACAATGATACCCCTCGGTCCCTTTCTCCTTTCTCACCCGTTTGCTCGACCCGTTCCCGACGAGAAGTCGCGGCTCGCAGAAGGTTTCGCGGCCTGGCAGCGGCGCAGCTCCTCCTCCCTCCTTCCCGCTCCCCCCCCGGGCGTGGCTCATCCTCCCTCCTTCCCGCTCCCCCCGGCGCGGCTTGCGTGTTAGGGTTTGGGGAGTACCGGCGGCGGCGCGACTACTGGCGGCGGCGCAGCTCATCCTCACTCCGCCCCGCTCCTCCCCAGGCTCGCGCCCACAGTGGCTGGGGCGCCACGTGGCCTGCGGTGAGCTCCGCCCCAACCCCTCCCCCCGGCTCGCGCCCGCTGTGGCGCGGCTCCGGTGCCTGGCCGCGTGTGGCAGAACCGCCCGAAATAGCGTACTTACAGAGGCGTTCGTCTTCCACCAGACACTAAGCACCCCGAAAGCAACTACAGCGAGCGGTGTCCGTCGAGCACACTCCGAGGGAGAACCCAAAAGATCCATATTTTTCCCAAGGATCCAATAATGAGAACGAGTTACAACACAAGTCCATCTCATACATTAGAGTCTCTTAAAAAGTACATTATTACAATACCAAAAACAGAGTGCGGAATAATAAACAGCGGAATATTAAAAAGATAACATCTAGCGATAAGATAGCGAGGAATCCGTCTGAGCCCACCAGAAGGATCCTCCACACAAGGTACTCCTCAAGCATCACCTGCAACAGGGGTAAATAAACTCTGAGTACACAATATACTCGTAAGACTTACCCGACTAGTGGGAATAATTTCTTGACTCCAA